GGAGCACAAGAAATGAGCTACTATACGTTAAACATCGTCCATATCAGAGGCAGAGTTGGAGCAAGCTACCAAACAAAAAGGTCCAGCCAATGTCCTCAGACTCGGGGGGAGGGATGTAGTGATTGTACTGAGGTCAGCCAGGTGGATCTCATGGAATATGAGCTCCCTGATTGGACCAGATTAACAGTCCCAATCAGGGAGCCCTGGCTGACAGATAAAAACAGGAGTGTCAGATATCTGTTCACACTGAATGCTGGGTCTGAGCAAGCTGGATCAGTGCCAAGGACTCTCCACGTGTAAATAGAGGGTGACATGGTGACAAGATACTGGCTTCTGTGGAGTTATTTCAAATACTACCCCACATATTCAAAGATATCTCAAGGATGGGCAGTGTAGATCACAGCAAAGTTATCAATCTACATCCTCTACAACTGATGTTACCTTTGCTCACATCCTGAGCACTTAGACACTTTGTTAGAATTGCAGAATTGGCTGTTAGAGAAAATTGCTTTTCAAAGGTCAACTTCTGTTGCTCTCAAGCACCATCGTGACTCAAAACAGCTGTCAATTCGTGGTGTCTGCACAAAGATGTGCTCGTTCTCAAAGGCACTTCATTTATTGAAGTCATGCATGGTAACGCTCATTGTAATGAACAGTAGGAGCTCGGACAGGTGAAAGAAATTTTGTGATTTCAACAAAAGGTAAAAATAACAAGCACCAAAGAAATTCCAGTAGGAAAAGAATACCACAGCTTTTAAAAATAAAAAAAAACTCTTCACTACCACTGCCAATGCCTAGAATAAGGAAGTGTTCCAACTTGGCAAATCCACCTCAATTTAGGTAGCAATTAGAGCAACTTTTCACTTTGGGGAGGTGGAGACAGGATTGCTTTGGGCCCATCAACTTCAGAAGCAGATTATAAGCAGCCATAAGGATAAGACAACTGCCAAGGTTGGCTGGTTAGGGGATCATCCTTGGGATTCTGAGACTTTGTTCTCATTATTTTAGAATGTATTAGGTATCAACCCTCCCCCTCCCCACCCTCACATCCCCCACCAAACCAATCTCAAATGGAGATTTGCTAGAGGCATTCAAAATCATGAAGGACCTGGGCAACCAGGTGGAGAGAAACTGCTCCCACTGGTAGGAGGATTGAGAACCAGAGGGCACAGAATTAAAGTAAGTGACTTGTCTCATAATCCCTCTTTGTTTCTCTAATAAGCTTTCCACATTCTTGCTGAACCTTCGGTTCTCCTCAATTGCACTTTCTATCTGACGCCTGTCATAAGTACACTTCTTCTGATCTGTTTTCTTTTCTATCTCCTTTTTCATCTAGGATCTCACAATTTGTTTGTCCTATCCCTCCCTTTTCAGAGAATACACATTGACTGTACCTGAAGCCCCTTGTTTAGGTACAGTTTTTTCATTTTACTTCTGGTTCTGGTCAATCTAGCATGGTTCTGTAGCCTTGCTGAAGTCAACTTTCCAGCAGTAAATCATTCTTACTCTGGATTGTCCTTTGCCCATTTACATTGTCATCGTAAATCTTTCAGTACAATGAGCGCTGTTTGCTGCAGACAGCACTGACAAAACATGCTGCAAGGAATTCACTCCTAGCTCTGTTCAGCTGCAACTCCTCTGGCTTGTACAGGTACAATCTTCTCCAGAGCCAGTTCCAGTCTCCCAGAAATCTCATGCCTACCCTCCTGTATTGTCTCTCCAGCCACACATTCATCTGCCTTATCCTATACTTCCCTACTCCATTGCATACGGCACTGGGAGTAATCCAGAGATTACTATTCCATTGCATACGGCACTGGGAGTAATCCAGAGATTACTATTCCACTGCATACGGCACTGGGAGTAATCCAGAGATTACTATTCCACTGCATACAGCACTGGGAGTAATCCAGAGATTACTACATTTGAGGTAGACAAACAGGTGGCTGGAAGAACTCAGCAGGCCAGGCAGCATCTGGAGGAAAGGAGAAGTCAGCATTTCGGGTATGACCCTTCTTCAGGGCTGGATGTGGGGGCGGGGGAGCTGTAGATAAAGTGGGGGGTGAGGTTGTTTCTGGCCACCTCCATGCCCACCACGCTGTGCTGCTGCCACTACGCACGTGCAGACCTCATCCAGCTCCGTGTTTCTCCCAGTCTAAAGCCACTTCCAGTTCCCATCTGGCACCCGAGTGTCCACAACCATCGACCAGGACCCACAGGCGCTCACCTTCAACCTCTATCTCTGCTCCAGATGAATCCACAAACACTGGCCTGGGTTTTGCTGATGAAAGGACTGGCACCTGCTTCTACTTCCCTCCACTCCAGACTCCACTCCCTCTCCAATCAACACACGGACTCCTATCCCCAGGGTCAATCCTGGACCCCACTGCCCACCTGCAGCTATGCAGTCCAACTCTCCCTCATCTGTCCATCCCCACAATACACCCTACCCCTCCATCTCTCCTCCCTCCTCTCTACTTCATCTCTCCCACACCCTTCCCATCATCCAATCCTCCATCCCACTCCCCAGCACACTCCCCTGCCACTCTCCTTTCCCTCCCACAACTACTCTACCCCACCACATCTCGTCCAACTCTCACCCATCACATGCTATAGCCCTCCCACCAACCCCCCATCCTTCAACCTTCTTGAGAACACCCTCAAAACCCCACCTCTGAATCTTGCTGCATGTTCAACATCCCTCTGAGGCTGAACGATCTGTCCCCAGTAAAGGCCTCATGTTTGTGCCCCTCATCCCCTATTTCAACAACTTCCTTGCCCGCCACGACATGGAACTCTTCTTCTGCTACCTCTGCCTCAATGCCTTCTTCTTTGATAAAGATTCCCACAACCTTCCTCCGGAGACCTCTTCTCCCACCTCCAACCTTCCTCCTCCTTTTGGACACCCTTCCTGCCGGCCTCTTACCCGCCCTAGACCTCTTCATTGCTAACTGCCAACGTGACATCGACTGCCTTGATTTCTCCACAACACCCCACCCGCTCCAACCTCTCCCCCTCTGAAGGTGGTGCGGCGCTCCACTCTCTCCACACCAATCCCTGTTTCACTATCAAACCCGCTGACAAAGACGGGGCAATGGTAGTCTGGAGGACGGACCTCTGTGGCACAGAGGCCAAACGCCAACTCTCCGACACCACATCCTACTTACCTCCCTCTTGAACATGACCCCACAATGGCCCATCAAGCCACTGTCTCCCACACTGTCCATGACTTCATCGCCTCTGGTGATCTCCCCTCCATCCCTCCAAACTTATAGTACCCCAGCCCCGCACTGCCTGGTTCTATCTGCTCCTCAAGAGCCACAAGCCCATCTTCCCCAGCCAACCTGTCGTCTCTGCATGCTCCTGCCCCTACTTTGACTCCATTCTGTCCCCCTTGGTCTAGGATCTCTCCTCACCTACATCCAGGGCACAAACCATGCTCCCTACCTCTTCGGAAACTTCCAGCTCCCTGGCCCCCAGCATTTCATCTTTACTATGGACTGCAATCCATACCCCACAAGGATGGCCTACAGGCCCTCAGTTTTTTCCTCTCCAACAGACCAATTCAGCATCCCCCCAATAATACCCTCCTCCACCTCACTGAACTAGTTCTCACCCTCAATAACTTTTCCTTCAATTCTTCCCACTTTCTCCAAATCCAGGGGGTTGCCAATGGGCACTCACATGGGCCCCAGCTATGCCTACCTGTTTGTCAGTTATGTCAAACAGTCCCTCTTCAGTACGTACACCGCTACTGTTTCCCAACTCTTCTGCCATTACATTGATGACTGCGTAGGTGCTGCATCGTGCACCCAGACTGAAATGGAGCAGTTCATTGACTTCACTAATAACTTGCACCCTACCCTCAAATTCACTTAGTCCATCTCAGACACCTCCCTTTCCTTTCTTGATCTCTCCATTTCTATTTCTGGTGACAGTTTATGGACCGACATTTACTATAAACCCACAGACTCCCAGAGCTACCTAGACTACACCTCCTCCCATCCTGTATGCTGCAAAAACTCCAACCTGTTTTCCCAATTCCTTAGTCTCCGTTGCATATGGTCTAACGAGGAGACGTTCCACTCCCAAGTACTCCTCTTGTACAGCCAAGCTATTCTTGGTGTCACAATCCTGGCTCTGACTGCACTCCTTTGAGGAAGACGCGTGTTCACTAGCTGCCAAAACAGCTGACCGATTTGTGAGCAGGACCCCAGGGTACGTTTGTACTCTCGCCTGTTTCTCTTGGGCTGCCTGGCAGACAACTCCCCCTTCCTGCCCCCAGCGTGATGTGACCACCTTTCTGAATGTGCTATCCATGTAACTCTCAGCTTCATTGATATGCTACACTGACTCCAGCCGCTGTTTAAGCTCAGAAACCCAGAGCTCAAGTTTCTGCTGCTGCAAGTACTTCCTGCACTTGTGATAGTCTTGGACACTGGTGGGATCTATGACTTCCCACATAATTATAGATTACATATTCCATCTACTCGGTTGAACTCAGCTGCCATATCTTAAAATTATTTTCATTTTTAAACTAATTCAGTGGTCATCACTGGCTAGGCCAGCATTTAACTGCCAAAGATTCAACCATATTGCTGTGGGTTTGGAGTCACATGTAGACCAGACCAGGTGAAGATGACAGATTTCCTTCCCTGAAGAACAGTAGTAAACCAGCTGGGCTGATGGGATAATCAACAATGGTTTCGTGGTCATCATTAGATTCTTAACTCCAGATTTATTTTATTCAAATGGCAGGATTTGAAGCTGAGTCACCAGACTCTGTGGATTAACAGCCTAGCAATAATAGCACTAGGCCATTGCTTACCCATTACTTTGGATTACTTATATTACTATATTACTTATATTACTATATGTGAGTTTAATTTAAAGAGTAAGATCCAAAGAACATAAATTTTGTACTTGTTATAAAATGTAGTTCCAAGATAGGGAGATAGTTTCTATCCAAGCACTCTCGTATTTCAGGCCTGTAGACTTACCTTTTCTTTCCTGTGGTATTCAGCTATCAGGTTAAAGGGCACAGTGTAAAGAGTACTGGACATCACCCCAAAAGCTGTACAGAGGACCAGCGTGGAGAGAACATTAGGAAAGAGGCCAATCAATCCAGTTCCAAGGCCAAACAGGAAATACCCAACAAAGTACGTTCCTTTCAATCCTATTATAGGTAAAAAGATCTTTTGTAGATCTGTAAGAGAATCAGTGGTAAAAAAAACTATTTAATTTGTTGTCTAATCAGTATTTGGACAATAATGTAAAACTACAAATGCTAGAATGTGAAATAACGTAAGGCTTGGAAGTATCACAATGCGTATTCTCAGTCAGCATTGGAACAATAAAAGCAAAATAGTGCAGATGCTTGATATCCGAAATAAAAACAGGAAGTGCTTACAAACTCAGCAGGTCTGGCAGTATCTGTGGAGAGAGAAACAAAGTCAACATTTCAAATTGAATATAACATTTCTTCAGAACAGATTCTTAACTGTTTCTTCTGTCCACAGATGTTGCCAGAACTACCAAGTTTCTCCAGTACTTCATAGATCATAGAATCCCTACAGTGTGGAAACAGGCCCTTCGGCCCAACAAGTCCACACTGACCCTTGGAGCATCCCATCCAGACCCATCCCCATATAACCCACACATCCCTGAACACTACAAGCAATTTAGCATGGCCAATCCATCTAGCCTGCACATCTTTGGACTGTGGGAGGAAACCAGAGCACCCAGAGAAAACCCACACAGACACAGGGAGAATGTGCAAACTCCACACAGACAGTTGCCCGAGGCTGGAATTGAACCTGGATCCCTGGCGTATGAGGCTGCAGTGTTAACCACTGAGCCACCATGCTGCCCACCTGTTTTAATTCAAGAAATAATTATGGGCTTATATTTTGGATATAAAATATCTTCAGAAATTTGAAATTTGATTGTATGTCAGACCCGAAACAGGAACCAATTTTCTCCTTTACACAATAATTGGCAATGTTACATGTTTTCTATTGGTAATCTTGCATAGACTTTTAAGGAGAAGTGATATAGTGTTGTTGCTACATAGTTTGGAGGATAGTTTGGAGGATACTATCAGCTTCCAGTATTGCAAGCTGCCCATCTCAAACTATGCACTTTCCAAATCAATTAAATGAAAGTATTATATAATTTTAACCAGGTGTAAATTGAATTTGAAGTCTTGCTTATTGCCACTAAGTTTAGGTGCCAGATTCTTTTCTCATAAAAATGTGACTGCACAATGTAAGGCACTGAGTTGAATTTTTCCAGTCCCTGACAACGTGGGAAATGTTGAGTCAGCTGCAAAAATAATGTGAGATCGGAAAAATGAGATTTTCAACATCAAATAACAAAGTCTGATTTTGTACCAAGGTTTGACTAGTTGGGACAAGAATCGTGCGAATGAGCAGTGAGGGGCCAGTTGCAAATGTTCCTATCTCATTATTACTTGCTCTTGCCTTACTTATATCCAGTTTGCCATTCTCCCACGCAGCGGGGAGAAATTGGTCAGTGACAAGTCCTGACAAGAAAGTCAGAGTGGATATCTGGTGTCTGCAGCTCACTCCTTGCTTCTTTTGATCTCCATCTCAGCCAACAGTGCCCAGCATCTCCAGACATGCTCCATGGGCAGTAACTGCCTGCACCCCAGTGTCCATACACCAGCCTCACCACATCACTACGGCAAAGTTTCAACTCACTACAATTTTCAACTTCAGCACTGAGGTCCAACTCACTACAATTCTCAACTTCAGCACTGAGTTCTAACTTACTGCAATTCTTCACATCAGCACTGAGCTCTAACTCACTACAATTCTCTACTTCAGCACTGAG